CGATCGGAGCGAAAATAACGCGTTTCTTTAACGTAACTCGCGAGCAGACTGATGTCTGTTCGTCGTGTACGATGATGGAGCCGATATTTCTTACGCGTAATCGATCGAGTCGTTATTGTCGTTCATGAAAGTTCGAATTAGCATCCATAGGTCGAATATGAATGCAAAGGAAGAAAAGTCGGAACAACCTCGAGTGCGTCGCTCGACTTGAAGGAAGAAGAATGCAGAGATATCGGTGAAATTATATAGTGTAAACACCTGGGGAATCAGTCCGTCTCATCAAGAGACGGACCTTATCTCGCCGGTGTACTTATCTCTTACTACTACCGCACTTGCACGCGATACCCGCGCGCGCGTTTATCAATCGGAGCGATTTGTCATGCATTCTTTCCTATTTTTATTTCGCCACGTATCGATAAGAGTTTAATTCGCGGTCGCGACAATAGGAGAGTGTCGAACGAACGTCCGAGCGCGATCAACAATCGAGTGTATTACAAGCTGTCGTCCGCTTTTCATTTCGCGCGATCGCGATCTCCACCGGGACGAATAAAATTCGAGGGGAATCGCTCGTTTATTGCCGCCGATCGCAGCATTAGCGATAAATGCGTACGTAATCGGCAAAATTAACGTTCACGTGGACGTCAATCAAAATCAGTCTGTCGAAATTGCTTGACATTTCACTCATCACTCCCATGCGGTAAAGAATCACACGGAAAGAACAACCTTGGTTGGGTTAACGTGTTTGGTTAAGCAAGATTTAGTTGAACAGAATTTCTGCTTGTTATAATGAAATATTGTGACAGCCAACCAGTTGTTTCCTGCAATAGTTGTTGCCCAAAACTTGTCTTATATAAGACAGTCAGATTTTTACTCGGAGTTAGATGAATTTTTCAATTGAATTATGTTACGTGACGTTTACCATCACAATTCAGTTAAAAAACTCTCATCTACCTCTGAATTCGAGTCTGAAACGAGTTCCAAGTAATAATTATTACGAGCCTATGACGTCTTTTAGAACTTTGAGCTGCCTCGGGAGCCATATTGATCGATCGACATCCTCGACGAGAGGATTGCTTCATACGGAAAAAAACAACTTCAGTTGAATTAATGTTCAGTTAAACAAAATTTAGTTGAACAAAACAGAAAATTTCTGGTTATTATAATGAAATATTCTGGTAATCAACTAAAACGTTTAACAATGATCAGAGTATGGTTAATCCAGTTATAATATCCAAGAATTTGCTTGACTAGGAAGCATAGTTGGATGAACGTGATATGTTTGGTCAACGACTGCTGGTTGAACTAAACAGAATTTTTACTTATTATAATCACATATTCAGCGCTGATTACAACACAGATAGACAATATATAATGGATCCATCAATTGATGACGTAGCGTAGCGCATAAATAGACGATTTACAATCTTGTTTTGAATAGAATCCCATCAGGATAAAAGACGAGTTCTCCAGATACTATATATTAAATTAATTAAATTTGAAGCAAAATAATCATATTCTAACACCTTAGAAACAATTTTCAGTTAAAAAAAATAATAAAATTTCTAGTAAGAGATGTGAATATAATTTTGTTTAGTTTGGTTAAAGTAACCAAGCTCTAGTAAATGCTTGTAACCAAATTTTTCTGGTTGCCTTAACAAAAATATTCGTTTATATCTCACCAAACAATCTAGTCGATGTGTCCTGAATTCTGATTAATTCAACCAAGCTTTTCTTTCCGTGTGTGCAGAATATATTTTCCCGTAGCACGTTTTATTCGAGCTGCCTCGGCGGACGTTTTCCGAGGACCCGCGTTCGCTTTTGTCCAGAAGCGAGCCCCCCTCCCAACGAAGACGCGTTGGAAACGTTTAGACTCGAGACAGGAGGCTCTCCTCGTAACAAACGGCCGCTCTCTTCGGCGTTTAAACGATCCTCGAGAGCGGCGATCCTTGGCGCGCGAGGCCTTCGGGCCCGCGCGCGCTGGAAACGAGGAGCTGGATCCTCCGTCGCGCGCACTTCCGCCTCGTTCGTCCGGAATGCTCGCGTCTCTCGCTCTTCAGGGCCCTCAAGGTGCCCCCCGAATGAAAACGACAGCGCGCTCGGTCCCGCCGGATACCTGCCAACGGGGGCGAGGGAGGGGACTCAAGACTTCCGTCGCGCGGCCGTCCCGACGCCCCGTAAAACCCCATCACCAATCCCATCACCAGAACATACCTGTTGCGAGTAACGAGAAACACGACGCGAGCGGCTATACGTCGGCACGCTCCATTAAGAGGCACTACACTGCACTTCCGACGCGACGTACGGCTCGCTTCTCATGTCCGGTCCCTGCCTGGGGATCGGCCGAAGACTCGACGCGGTGGCTCTGAGCGAGACGACGATGACGACGACGACGACGACGACGACGATGATGATGAAGGAAGAAGGCCCGATCGGGTGCGGCGAGGTGAAGCCGAGGGTCGCAGGCTACGGCGGCGAGCCGTGGCGACTTGGAGAGCCGTGGCCACGAAGAGCAGTCGTTCCGGAGGATGGGCCACGGTGAACCGGCACATTAACACGTCCGCTCGGCGAGCTTCGGTTCGGATCGGGTGTGCCAGGTGGAAGCTGCTGGCCGGCAGCGGAGGAGGTGGTAAGGCCGCGCGCCTTCGTGACTGCTCTCCGGCTTCCCCACCGACGAACGTACGAACGTACGAACGAACGGACGGACGGACGGACGGACGGACGGACGAACGAACGTACAATCACTCGCTGAGCTGAGCTGAGCTCGGGGTTCGCGAGCGAAGCAACTCGCGGCACACGTACGTCGTACACGACCAAGTGTGATCGACCGACTGCCGACTCGCCGCTCCCGTGTCTCCTCCTCGGCCGCCGGTCTCTCCGCCAGGTAACAGCGGAGCGAGAAGCGTGTCGGTGTGCGCGCTGCTGCACACCTTCGGCCCCACATCACGCTATCTGCAGGCCCACCTGGTTCGCCTGCGACCTGTCGCGATCGGATCCGCGATATCGACCGCGAGCTGTCTTGTCGACGGCGCGCCGACAGACGCGCCAGGTGCATGCCGAGGGTCTCGGGGGATCTTCAGGTCAGGAGAGGCTCGGAGAACCTTCACCGGGGGGTCCCACGAGGCAGAACGATGAGAGATGATTTTCGTGAGGTACTCATGGAATTTGTTCTTCGCTGGTTAGACAATCGAACGGTTAACAGTTTTTTTTTTTCTTTAATAGTTTTTCACTTTTACACACCTAGTCTATCACCACCTGGTCCACCACGTGTGTATCCTGAAAGTCGTATATTTTGTTGGAAATATATGCAATATACATAATAGATTGTACTGAGAAAATATTATAATTTTTTTTCATATAAATTATTTAGGAAAAACTTGTGAATCAGATTGGTCTCATTTTATAGTTTTTGGCGTGTTGATTACGAATATGAGTCCCAAGGTGGACCGACGCACTGCTCCAGACAGAATTTAGAATTGCATCCCACTATATAGATGGGACTACTTATTTTCACAAATAAAAAGTGGAACTATAGCGATTTGCAATAACAAAATCGTCTTCACAAATCGCAGCAACAATTCCAGATGTTGCTTCTAAAAAAGGGACGATTAATTTGGATTTCAAAAGCGTTTGATGGACACTAAGAAAAAAATTTACTAAATTTTAAAAAACGTTTAGATAGTACCGTGAAGATATTTGTTTAAATTAAGTAATTATTTTCTAAAATTAAAGAAACAAATTTATATTTAAAACTTCTTTATTTCATCTTAGAAAATAATTACTTAATTTAAACAAATATCTTTACAGTACTATCCAAACAAACGTTTTTTGAAATTTAGTAAATTTTTTTCTCAGTGTAATAAATTCTCAGACAGTTGGCACGGCCAAATTGGATCAGTTGACCCGTTGATTAAGCTTTGAAAGCACCAATAAGGTCAAGCACGAGCTATCAAGAAATAAATCTAACAATCGAGCGGTAACCGATCGTTTCTTGCGCGTTGCATACCTTTATATCACTTAAATCTTCCGTATCCGATCGCGATCATCTTATCAGGAGGGTTCGTCTCCAATTCTTATCGCTTTTCTGCCTTTCTATTTGTATTTATCTAAATAAAATATGTTTACTGCATTAGTTGCTGTAAGCGAGGTAATAATTGCTTTATTTCTGTCGACACAGCCATTCTTTTCTTTGTAATTTTTTCTGAAATGTATGTCCACCTTAGGACTTGTGTATTTGTTTAGTTTTGAAGACATGGAGAAAAACTGTTTTTTTTATTATTTTTTTCGGTTTCTTTTTCAAGAATAGAAAAATTCGTTTGGAAAAATTCATGCGTGTTTAGTTAGAACTTGTCACACTTGCTTCTTTTCGTAAAGAAAATAATTGCATGCACTTAACTCAAATGAACTTCTGATCTGTCTGACGACAGATTGAACATGACCTGTTGACTAATCCGCAGTCATCTGTGTCCACAATATGTTGTTATTTTGTCAACAGAGTTTGCAAATAGAGTCTAATAGCAAATCGTATATGTATCCTGTATTTTCGGAGAAAAACAATTTTTCTCCAGCGATTTAAAAAACTATTTTAAAACTACACATATTTGTAATTGCGCCAAAAACTATAAAATAAAACCAATTTGGATTCAAAACTTTTTTCTGAATAAAGTAAGCTGAACTTAGCCGTATACTTCATTATGTTTCTAGTAGTGTGGCAATGGAAATATAGACTGTCAGTAAGATCTGTCTTTAAGGAGCATAATCGATTTTGTTAGAAACATAGCAAAGTTTTTAAGGCTTCTGGCCCGATAGTAAAACACTTATGAAATTATATAACGAAACCTAAATGAAATTTATAACGCTGCAATTGTGTGGCTATGTTTGAAAAAGTACATGCAAAAATATCGATCTTTTATTAAATATTAATATAAATGCGGGCGCAACTTTAATTTATTCTTGCACGTCGATTCTCTCGCGGAGCACAAACAAATCCACAAGACCGTGCAGCTGTTTACATTGAAAATATATTTTCGTTTTATATATCAATTCGACGTGAGTTGAATACATACACATAGTTTAGTCATCCTCCCTTTTTTTCTTTACATTCTTCGTAAGTTACATATATACTGTTTCGATAGCGAGTGGTAACGACGCGCGTTTATTTAACAAACATTTCTGTCCTCTTTACGCGTCTCGCACATAATTACGGATGTATTTGAATATTCGTCCGATGTGAACAGTGTGGTTTTGTTTGGTCAAGTACCGACGTAATGTTTACAATAAGAAGCACATACATGTGTGTGTGTTTGTGTGTTATCTGGATGTATAGATATTTTTTTAGCAACATACAAAAATGCGACAGTAGTACTTGTAGTTCTCTAGTCGAGCTTACAAACATACGGTACATTCGTATTGTATAGTTTTACTTGGGCCGTGCAAATTGTATTTGCACGTGCGCGTACTCAAAATGCAAGATTTATCCCGCGAATAAATCTGGAGCGCACTTTGATAATAAGGGTGTGTGATTTCTCTCCCACAACAATTGTCTCTTTCTCTCCTGCGCGCGCGTGCGCGAAATCACATCGCAGTGCAGAAATCACGGCGAAGATACGCGCCATGGAATAATTACACAGGTTCAGGTACAAGATATGCATTTTGTATGTACATAGACTGAGAGAGGATGGAAAACTGATTCCGAACGGCTGCGTGACGTACAATTCTCGTGACGTACATGAGAATTCATTTTTGGCATTATAAAAGTGATTTATTTACGAATATTCTAAGTCTTATGGAAGCTCATTATCATTAGCGATTTTATCATTTCGTGACTGTTGAGAATTTTGATGGGTCTACATAGGTCCTGTGTGAATTTCTGATGAATCTGTCTATCTTTTCGGGAAATAAATCGTACGCAATTCCATTGTGACAAAAGTTGTGGAAAAAAAATCGGATGAATTGATTTTGCATAGCTTGTACCTATTTATTGTACTTGAGAAGACTTCTGTAGTCGAGGAAGTGATCAATATTATTAACGGTGGATAACTCTCTTACCTGGCTCATTCTCACATAAAACAGTATATAATAATATTAAACAATCGTAAGTTTTATAACAAATATAGGACTAGGACTTAGTTGAAAGTATATCGCTATCTACTTGAGTTGCTTTAAAATATCATATAGTTAAGATAGTATGTATATTTATATATATTCAAGTTATATCAATATAGCTCAAGGAATAATGTATAAACGAATGAAATAATTCGAGACTATTAAAATATTTGCCTATTTCTAATACAGAGTGATCCACACTTAAATCTAGTTTCTTAAATTTCTCACTTGTTTTTGATGATATGAGAAAATATCTAAAGAAAAAGTTGCACTGCTTAAAGAAGCAATTATGATGATAGAACCAACATTTTTTTTCAAAGTCATTTTTCCAGAAATTTGAAGCTATTTTTTTTAGATGAAACTACATGTTTTTGTTTGAACGCTTTTATAGCTAACATCGAACAATACACTCTTGTCACTTTTATCATTTGTGAATTTATAATCGTAATAACTATCGTGTTGATACCAGAATAGTAGATATGTATGTTTGATATTATGAATTCTTCGTGATTTTAATGGGAAACATCTCATCTTGACTTCTATAATATATATTGTACTTGTAAACATACATTTCTACTACTTAGATGATTATGAAATGCTTTCGCAGTTTAATATTTTCTAAGATTCTCGCAATATCAGAGTTGAAATATGAATAAGTACACGAAAGAGGAAGGAATAGAAATTCTTCAGATTTGAATTTTGGGGAATGTTGAAAAACATTGTATACAACGATGTATCAACTACAGAGAAGAACATGAGCGATTTTGGATACACGTGCGATTATAAATTCAGAAATGATAGAAAAGGCAAAAGTATAATTTATGTGTCGTTAAAATTTATGTTAAAAATATATTGAAGTTGAAGAACATCATTTTGAACATCTCTTTAAATAAATTTTTATGTTAAGGAGCATAAATATTTGATTTTTCTTTTTTTTCAAACATACATAATTTTCCGTGTTCAAGATTAATTAAAGATCATAGGTCGTTGGACTCGTCTCAATATCGACTATAAAAGCGTGCAAACAAAAACATGTAGTTTCATTTAAAAAAAATTATATCGATCTTTAAATCTCTGAAGTGACTTTGAAAAAAATTTTTTTGTCATCACATAATTGCCTCCTCGAACGATGCAACTTTTCTTTAAACATTTTTTCGTATCATTGAAAACAAGTTTAGAGAAATTTAAGATGCTCGATTTAAGTGAATCACTCTATATATTCGATAAAACACAGTAAAATAGTCGATGCTTATATTACTATCAATTATTAGACTCTTGGTAGTTCTCTTCTCGACGGAAATCTATTTAAAATGTGGATGTAATAGCGTGAAAATACTTGAATACTTTTATAATAACTAAATGTGCAACATACAGACGCGATTGCGGTATATACATTCGGGAAAGGCTGGATTGAAATGTGAGCCTTTGGAGAAGTCACTACTGGCGTGAGTATAATTTCGCGAGTTTCGGAAAGTGCAAAGTTGCGATTAATTTCAATTGAAAAAGTCCTATCTCGAAATAATCCGACGTGGAGTGTAAACTTTATCATAAAAAATTCAATCTTATTCCAAAAGATGTTTCAAAATTCGCAGTTATATTTTGTGTTGTGTCACGACTACACTGACGTATTTCGATCTAAGGAGAGTCCGTGTGTCTTGTGTACATTTACATACAGGGACTATTCGCAATCGGATTACGATTGCACAAACGCTTTTCTGGAAGTAGTTCCGTCGACGTGATATTCTTTTGGTAATGCGATCGCTAAATTAACACTCTCGCGCGCTGCATCCTCACTGTCTCCCTACCATGATATCTAATGCAGAAAATAGATATAGATTAAGCATGTTCTAGGTATGTTATCACGGATAAATCGACTGACTGACCCGTCGACATCACGATATTCCATTTGAAGCGACTCACGTTGCACGAAGGACCGACTTGCAATATATATATATTATCAGACGTAATTACACGATCACAAAAATAGGCTCTGGAGTATTCTCCCGAGTATGATGACACCCCTCTGTATATTTGCTTTCAATGCGGTTTTAATTACGTTTCCTTCGACGCAATTAGAAACACGCCTGAAGATCCAATGAGAGAACTTGGTTTTGATTAATCCCGAGATGTCTAGTTCTTCTACTGTACCACCGGCTGTGTTCCGAACGGCGTCGGGAAAAGGAAGTTCAAACCGTCTTGAAACCGAGTACACAACCCGCGTAGTTTGATTCACATTTTTTACCGACATACATACATGAAAATTCACTGAAAGAGTGCGGATATATCCCAAATCTTAATAACTCGATCCTGCCCGATGGTCAGCAATCTTCGTCTGGAGATGTCCAAGTCCATGCCGACGACACTATGCTTGGCATCGTGGAAGGACGCCAAGGACGATTGACTGGATAAATGCAGGAGTAATTAGCTCAGTTTCTGTAAACCCTGACGAAAACAAAATGCACCACCTACTTTTCAGACTTCAGTTGTATGTGACACTGGTCGCAGACTCTCACTTCGAATTCGAAGCCCATCGCCGGTATCGGTATTCGTTGCGACGTGCAGCGGGCGCACAACGCGCGTCCACAGTGACGACAATGGTGCTGCCTCAGTCCTAACTGCCGTTGGTCCATCATTGCCTTTATGTTCCAGAAGAAGGGTCTTCCACATGCCTAAGACGCCATCAATTTTAAATATTATGGAAGCTGATGTGCTTTCATAAAACGGCGTAATCACGCGAGTGCGAGTGTTTAAGGACTTTGGATAGTTTGTAGGCATGAATTAAAGCTCCTGATCTAACTATAAAAAAATCTGGTATAACTTTCTCAAAGCATGACAAAAACATACTGAACAATTCAAAAGTATGTGCCTCATAATTTCTTTGTAAAAATATTCCAAACAAACTCCTTTAATTCATGCCTATAAACTATCCAGAGTTCTTTACCGTGAAGACTTCGTGTATACATACTTGACAAGTGTCAGATTCGACCCAAGCTGCTGTTTCCTTCCTGTTCGCTGCCATGTTCCAACATACGATCACGCCATCCTCACCTCCGGACAAGAGCACGCGCTCAGCACTCGCGTAGCACAATGCCGTTACCTTGTTGCTAAGGATTGTAAATTATATTTAAAATTATATTTTCTGAAAGATAATATTCTTAAGGAAAGAAAGCTGACGTGAGTTTTCTTTGGCTTACTGGTGGCCTTGGAGTTCATAAGCGGTGCCTTGACGGCCTCCGATATCCCAGACGATGATGCTTCGATCGAAACTACCGGAGAACAACAGCTGCTTTTCGGAGTCCCATGCCAGTGTGTGAATACTTCCTCTATGCGCCTTCAACGTGGTGATAAAGGTAACGCCATTATTGTCGAGCTTTAACATTGCTATCTGACCAGAGTAGTCTCCCACGAAAGCGTGTTTTGATTGGGCGTCGAATCTGTGATGCGCTGAGTTAAGTTTCTATAGATGCTTCACAAGTTGCCATAAATATCTCTGTGATTTGCAGAGTTGGGTAATAACTGGTTAGGTGATCGGTTAAAAATTAAAATGGGATGTCAGTGAGTTTTAACTCAACTTATAGTTAATTTCAATTGGATTAACTTTTAATGTAAATTAGTTCTTTTGAAATATATTAACTTACTGACTTTTTTCCTGTAAGTCAAAATAATTAATCAATATTAAAATTATTAATCTGTTCACAATGTAGAAGAAAAAACAAAAGTAACGACAGCAGTTTCTTTGTCTCTCTCTGAGTGTATATATAACTTCCTCAACTTTAATAAATTAATTTAATGTTAACTTAACTTTTAATCAAGTTTTTGTTAGTTTTTGTTCATATAACTTTTAATGTAACTGAGTTAACTTTGTAAGCCATTAGCTTTAAATTTATCTGAGTAAAGAAAAGAAAAAAATTGAACTTACCCAACCCTGGTGATTTATAAACATGTAAGATTTTGTCAAAGGATACTGTAAAGCAGTGTACCATGCATCTGTCTGGTATGATCCTAATTTTTGTCCTGTCTCAGAACTGTGTAATTGAAATAATTTATCGCGACCTACACTTAAGACCCATTCGCAATCTGGTGCAAAAATGATCCCTGTTACTCTTGCTTGATGTGCCAGATACTCACGCATTGCTGTCATCCGATTATAATCTTGCTCCAAAATGAATTCCTACAATTGCAAAGTCAAATAGCACTCCAATTGCACATAATTCTAAAGAATATCCAAGTGATTCCACCTACATTTATGCATCCATTATCCAAGCCAACAAATAACTGCCTTGTTTCTATGCAATAATACATCGAGGTAGCACCTGCTGGCATATACTGACAAATGCTTGGCCAATAATGGCCAGAATCACGCTTCAGCCATACTCTAACTGTCCTACAAAAATATGGAAACCAAATGTGTCATAAGAAAATTACTGGAATCAATTTTAATATTTAACACAAAGATTGCAACTATTAATCACCCTGAAGTTACAAATTTTGTTAACCATGTATCAGAATCTATATCTAATTTTCACATTTACATTATTCTACATGGTACAAATTTGTCATGTTTTTAGAACAAGGTATTTTTAGAATGTAGTCAAGTATATAATTAGAGCCTCTCTCTCTCTTTATACTATTGCGCCTTATCTAATAGTAATAATCACGAAAACGTGACATATTAGTTGGTAATCAAGTTCATCTTCGTAAAGTGACATTTTCGAAGTGTTCTAAGTGCTGTGCAACGAGGGTGCAGTACAGCGAGGTGTGTCCGCGTAATCGAAAAGTTGCGCACAGTTTTGATCGCGCGAACAAGAACAAATTCCGTCCCGATCGTGACGGATGATTTCGCCGTGCAGGAAGAGGCGTAATTTCGGTGGAAGAACGTAATCCTGCCGGAAGATTGATGTTGACGAGGACGGATACCTGTCATCGCAAACACTGATTACACCCTCTTCCCGCGGGATAATGATAGCAGCGTTGACGTCGTCACTGCATCCTTCTAGTTTCGACAGCAGGACCGGCTTACGGCTGCTGCTGAATTTGTCGTGATTTACTCCCGGGGCGGGCTTTATCTCCGCTGCCATTTCTCAACCGCGCGAACGTAATCCCGCAAATGAGATTGTCATTTGACAGTTGTCAAGCTTCGACGTTAATCGCGGCTCACGCGTTACTGAAGACCGCACTTATCTCACTGTTTCTTACTGTCGGAGAGACGGTGGCGAACCTATCAACTGTTCCGTGTAACACCGTGTGGTGCGCATAGAGTGCGCTTCATGTACGGCCGTTAAATCTAGCGATTTTATAGTGTACGGAAATCCGACTAGTGATTTGGTGTTTACATGTTTCACTGAATGCACGTGGTTTCGCATAACCTTTTTCAACCGGTATAAACTGAGCGAAAATCCACAAATTCAGAATCAAAGAAAGCATCTAAAGAGAAAAAGAAGTGTAAACGTGATTGAATATTATAAAGAATGGCACGTAAAAAAACTTTAAAAAGGAAACAGGTTAATCTGAAAGAAGGGGAAAAAGATGAGAATGGTAAAAATGAAGAAGCTTGCGTGGAACATGTGGAGGTATTGTCTTATTTGATACAGGTTGCATTCTAATATTCACTGCTAGTACTGAAAATCTAAAATTTATGTTATATATTCTATAGATTTTCAGTACTGACAGTGAATATCGGAACGCTACAATAGGTTAGTTCGTTTTGGAGGAACTTCTGAACTAGACCTGTATTTTTTAAATTTTTGCGTACATAAATTTGATTGCTATTTTATGATTATACCTGCGCAAAGGAATTTTCGTATACGCAAAAATTTCAAGAATATAGGCCTTAAAAATACAAAAGTTCTTTGAGAACAAACAGATCTATGTTTATTACTATGCACATTTAGTTTGAATATAATAATAATAAATAATATTATTGTATTAGTAACAATGTTACATGATAATATTAACCTGTTGTTTCAACATTGAAGGATTCTGACACAGAAGATTTGTTAGCGACTGAAGTAAATGATTATGAGGATTCTTCGGATGAAGCGATAGAGGAAGATGCAGATATACCTAACTCGGATACAGAACAGGATCTTGTTGTTTTTTCATCAAATGATGAAGACAGTGAACTCGAATTTGAATCAGACTATGAATCTGAAGGTGATGAAGATTCAAATACTGAATCAGAGAATGATTCTCATGAAGAAACAGAGAAGAGACTACAGATCAAACAGAAAGATAGTAAAAAGAAATTAACTAATGATTCTGTCACAAAGTCTTCAATATCTAAAAGTAAGGTATTAGCAAAAAAAGATATTAAGTCAGTAAGTAATAAATTAAAGAACAAGCAAGTTCAGAAGAATTCTCAAGAAGTACAAAGTCAGAAAGATGATTTACATAACAATAAAGAAGCTAAAGGTGCATCTGATACAGCGGATCAAGAAGAAAATGAATATGACTACGACAGTTCAGATGAGGAAGATATTCGCAACACAGTTGGAAATATTCCAATAAAATGGTACAATGACTATGATCATGTTGGTTATGATTGGGAAGGTAAGAAAATCTTGAAACCTGAGAAGGGTGATGAGTTGGACAACTTCTTGAAAAGAATGGAGGATCCTGACTTTTGGAGAAGTATAAAAGATCCTCAAACTGGCCAGGATGTTGTACTAAAGGAAGATGACATAGACTTGATTGTGAAGATACAGAAGCAGAAGATAGCTGATGCTCAGTTTGATGAATATGCAGTAAGCCATATTTATATTTATTCAATTTGCAAACTGGAGATACACAGAGTGTCTGACACTAAGTTTCTTGTATCTCGTGTGCACATAGATTGGGTCAAACTGAACATAAAATTCCTTCAGCATTTTTTAAACCACAAAATTATGAATTATTAATAAAAGAAGATTGGCGAATGATCACGTGTGATACGCCAAATGAGTTGCGAAAATAATGCTTGCTGTCGTATAGTTTGTAGTTTAGATCCAACTGTACAAAAAAGTTCTACGTGATTGCAAATAACCATGTAAATTTTTAGTTATTAATTAAAGGATTTTAGTGTATTATCGCGCGCGATCATTCGCTAATCTTCTTTAATTAATAACTTAAAAAATTACCATTTGCAAAATGGTGAAAGACATTTTTGTTCAGCTCGACTTGATCTGTAAGTCACACAATTTTATATGCAATTTGACCTAATGTATATGAAGTATGGAGCATTTAGCGTCAAATATTATATATTGTTTCATATATGAGTACTTGCTTAGTGTGTATCGTTGATTACAGCCTTGGGTAGAATGGTTCACGTCTGAAGTGATGAAAATGCCGCTCCGTAAATTCCCTGAGCACAAACGTTCCTTCTTGCCATCTAAAAACGAAGCCAGACAAGTCTCGAAATTGGTGCACGCTCTCAAAATGGGGTGGATAAAGTCTACCGCCGAAATGCAGAAGGAAAGAGAAGAGAAGAACGAAGGGCCACAGTTCTATATGCTGTGGCAATCTGACGATCAGGCAGAGGAAATGCGTAGAATCCACAAGCATATTCCAGCACCTAAAAGACATTTGCCTGGTCACGCGGAGAGCTATAATCCACCGCCGGAATACCTGTTTGATAAAAGAGAACTTAAAGAGTGGGAAAAGTTAAAGGAAACCCCTTGGAAGAGGAAATTACACTTCATACCGCAGAAGTTCAATTCTCTACGAGAAGTGCCTGCATATCCCAAATACATCAAAGAAAGATTCCAGAGGTGTTTGGATCTGTACCTTTGCCCGAGAGCGTATAAAATGAGATTAACGATAAAGCCCGAGGATCTGGTTCCACAGTTACCTAGCCCGAAGGACTTGCGGCCATTCCCGACAAAGATGTCCATGGTATTCACTGGCCATACGGATATGGTAAGAAGTATTACCGCGGAACCGACGGGTCAGTACATTGCATCTGGTGGAGATGATATGTCCTTGAAAAGTGAGTGTTATTTTTGTTTATATGGCTCATAATATATCTTTATATCTGTATAATATTAATTTTATGTTACCTTCGTTAACTTACGTGATATATTTAGACCATTTCCTTGTGCAAATGGTAACATTAATAACATTATTTTAACAGTATGGGAAGTAGCAACAGGCAGATGTGTTAAAACAGTGCCTTGCGGCGGAGTTATTAGAAGTGTTGCTTGGTGTCCGAATCAAGCTGTATCGCTAATAGCTGTTGCAGCCGATAAGAAAGTTCTTTTGATAAATCCTGGAGTCGGAGATCATTTGATCACTAGCAAAACTGATGAACTTTTGGAGATAATACCACAGACTGAAGTAATAGGTGAGCAGTAATTGATTGAGTTGAATCAACTGTTTGTAATCCATTATAAAAGTAACTTTATAGGCACGATTAACATATACTGTATTAATATATATATTTTTTTGTGATATTAGTAAGTGAAAAGGTGAAAAGTGCAGTACAGTGGGAGCAAGCGGAAGGTGAACACTTCACCAATGGACTTAGGGTAGTATTGAATCACTTTAAAACTGTAAAGCAAGTAACGTGGCACGGGAAAGGGGATTATTTCGCCACCGTTATGCCAGACGGCCAAAATAAATCTGTGCTCATAAATCAGTTGTCAAAACGAAGATCTCAATTGCCTTTTAACAAGTCGAAAGGATTAATACAGTGTGTTTTGTTCCATCCAATTAGACCATATTTATTCGTTGCAGTAAGTACCAGTAACAGAGACGTGTAACAAATATAAATATTAATGTTCATTTGTTTGATATACATTGTCTTTTTTCAGACGCAAAGAAATGTGAGGATATACGATCTTGTGAAACAGGAAATTATTAAGAAGTTGTTATCCAATTCACAGTGGATATCAACAATGGCTATCCACCCCGGTAAGCTATAATCTATCGCCGGAATATCTATTTGATAACAGAGAACTTAAAGAGTGGGAAAAGTTAAAGGAAATCTCCTGGAAGAGGAAATTACATATCATACAAGATGTTCATCATAACAATATTCACTATTTTTTTTATCAGTTATAATTAACGGGCAGGATTAAAGTTCTAGATGCAATATATATTAAACAGTTTTAAAGTTTTATTTTTGTATTTTATTGCCGTTGCAAACCGAGTAATTGTATCTAGAACTTTTTCTTGTCCGATCAAATTGTAACCGGTAAAAGTGTAATGAACACTTGCGGTGAACACGCTGTATATTTTGTAGAAATTATGTTTATGATATCGTCATTGTGTTGCCAATCTTTCAGGAGGCGATAATGTGTTGGTAGCGACCTACGATCGTAAGATGCTCTGGTTCGATTTGGACTTAAGTACCAAGCCTTATCAGACGCTGCGGTTGCACGGAACGGGCGTACGCGGCGTGGCGTTTCACAAACGATATCCTCTGTTTAGCTCCGGAGCTGACGACAGAGGACTTATCGTGTGTCATGGAATGGTCTACAAGTAAGATAGTTTGCAACAGAATTTCTTTGTATGAATATCGTATGTTTAACCGACGTACAGAATCGCAATACATTTATACATCGTTCCAGTGATCTTTTGCAAAATCCATTGATCGTGCCACTGAAGAGATTTTGCAATCATGAGTCGTACGATGACTTCGGCATCTTGGACGTCATATTCCATCCAACTCAACCGTGGGTGTTTTCTGCGGGCGCAGATTCTACTATAAGAATGTACACGTAGATACTTTACGTCAGAGAATTCATCACTGTCGAGATGAAGTTATACAGTTATCATTTTTAAATTTTATGTAGGTTTATACATAAAATACACAAGCTGTTTTTACTCACTCTTTTACTCGATAAAAATTTCATCTGGTTTAGATCGTAATTGCACGTAAAGACAAAATATAGGAACTTGTACATTTGCATTGAAGTTATACTTAAGTGTAAAACATTAAATTATTTTTAATCTACAAGAAAGATGTACTTGGAGGAAGTTAACCCCGTGGAAGATGATACCTCTATTGTAACTATTTAATTTTCTATAAACTAAGTCACGCGCGCATAAGAGCCTCCTTGCTCTCCTTCTCTATGTTTTAGAGTATGTCCATGCTCCACTTTCACAGATTCGTTAATACATTAAGATATCGAGGAGTGTCCTAAGCATTGCCATTCGGGCTCACCGCAGTCGCAAGTACGACCCGCGTGTCGTACTTGGAACACGGTGACGATACCTCTGCTATCGTCGAATCTACAAGTGATATGCAGATCGTGTATTAGAAAGGTATAAAATTGGCTACCCCATCTTTGTCGTAGATACACCGATCTAGGATCCTCCTTAAGTACATTCTCTATAGCCTGTTTCTGTTCATCGATCTTATCGTCCAGAATTTCGCTCAACTGCATCAAGGCGCGTTCGTTAAAGATCACTGACAGTGCTGCCGTACGAGGCTGCGATATCCAGTCCGGCACTCTGATCTCGGAAAAGTTACTCTCCATCATTGCGTTTGTTTGCCCGGTTGGCAAAGTTGTTGCCACGTGAATGTTCGGCAAGGTTTGTGAGGGCGTTAAAGTCTGAGACTCGAGTCCCTCCTCTCCGTCGGGCGCCTCGCGTATTCCCATTCTTACGGGAGAATTGTCGACTCTCGCGTGCAATACGTGACGATTGACCAAGTCCACGTCGGTGCCGCAAACCGTGCTCGGCCCGTCCGCTCCGTCCAACAGCCTGGAGTTGCGGGAAATCTGATTCTCTGTGTAATTCATTTCGCTGTCGTTATCTCTTCGCGTGTACATCGTTTCTATATTGCTAGGATTATTTACATCTATGTCCTGTAGCCTGCTATTCAAGTCTCTGATAGAGTCCGCTTGTACTTCAGTCGTCAACGTTGCGTTATATTCGCTGGACAAATCCGAATCTGTTCTCGCGTTGGGCGACCTATTTTGAGCGCGGTATATTCCTCTGTGTGCGACATCCACATTAGCGTCATCTGGTAATAACGAAGTAGTGGTACTGATGCGAGTTTCCGTTAATTGGGAAGATTGTCTCGTGAGATCGTAGCTGTCGATGTTTGGGAAGGCTTCGTATTCTTCTACTTGCAGTCTCAAAGCTATTTCCTCGTCTCTAGAGATGTCGATGAGCTCGGCTTGCTCGTCGTTGTTAACGTCCGTATCATCATTAGAAGAGTCAACTGACTGATTCTCGCTCAAATTGAGGATTTCTTCCATATTGTGAAGCATGTCCGAAACATTCGCATTGTTTTCTCTTAGCCTGTTACTCGACTTCTCGATATGTAGTGGACTGTCGTACTGTGGTATATAAGGCTTTATGTCTAAGACAGGAGTTTGATTCACCATGTCGACGCCTTCGAAGTAAATCGTGTGATTCTCAATCTTTAGAATCTTAACTAGACTCAGCCCAATCGGACAAGGGCGGTGTGGAGAACGCGTGGAGAAAACGCCTGTTCTCACTCCATTCAATCTGGGCGGTGCCACTTTTGCGCGAGTATGTGTGGAATCGTTCCTATGAAAGTGAAATAAAATCCTGTTGGGAGAAAAGTAAGAAAAATTATCTTCATTATCTTATCACTCAAATTTATTTTGAAATTATTGTATCATAATTAAAATGTTTCACCAATAGATTTTATGTGTAATTAATGTTTTAATATTTTAATAATAAATAATTATAGGCTTACCACATATGAGAGAAATCCTGTAAGCCCTGCAAGGCGTGATCTGGATTTGTAAATATAGAATTATAAAGCGTCAGCTTTCCAGGAACTTTCCCACAGATCCCAGGTTGTCGTGGAGTGGCTCTCTTGTTAGGAAACCAAGTGGAAATCACACCGATGGGTTTTAATTTGAGGATCTCTTGGTCTTTACTTGTACCAGGTTTAGCTTCCTCTGAAGATATTAGTTTAGACTGGGTTCCTCCATGTTTCTGCAGTTCCAAGAGACGTTTTATGTTGTCGACATCCTTATCAAGTATATACCTCAGACTCTTTACCTGTTGCCTGCAAAAGTGAGTCAATCTTAACAATTTTTTAAATAATTTCCATAATGTAATTTTTGTATATTAAAACATAAGTAAAGAAAAGCAGCAAATTGTGAACACAAACTGAACTAAATGTTGATATTGTGCCACGCGTTATGTGACTGAGAAGTGAATACTCTTGTCTCTCTCTCAATTAAGTACCTTAAATTATTGATCTCTCGCCTTGCCGTGTTCAACTGACCGAGCAAGTGGTTAGCATTCAACGTAGAATTTTGACAATTTGAGTCCATATTCACCGTTGACAACATTTACTCCGGTAGCTACCTATCTCCTTTCTCTCGTCGGACGGATTCGAGGTCCCTGTCAGACACGCGCGGAGTCTCTAGATTAGAGTCACTAGAAGCAAGAGTGTGGACTTTCTTTATTGGTCCGACGAAATATGGTGGCGGAACTGAATAGTTTAGAATTTTTACTTGGCGCGCAATATTATTCACAATATTTTAACGTAATCTTAATTAATTAAATATTATTCAACGACGTATTGTAAAACCGATATTGTTTCCCTTATTGGCCTTCTACAATAAGCTATTAGTTATTTTAATTATTTTCAAAAACAATCTACTGTGGTAACTGGTCAATTTGCTTGCGGTTTCTGAATAATTGCTTATTGTAGAGGGCGCATTATGCGCGGACTTCCTGACACCGATTTAAATTTTTGGTTCTGTGGGAAATGGTTACGATAATTTTTGTTCTTAGGCCTTTCCGCATAACGAGAGAAGCAAAGGATTTGGATGGTTTTTGGCAATGAATAAATATGTTTTATGTCTATTTGCGTATTTATATTCTATTTTTTATATGTAATAAAAAATATATAATGATATATTATTATTTTAGACTATAATTAATATTGTCACACGCCCTTTCCTTTTCTTTTCTGCCTCGTCTTTATCCTCGTTCTTATCCTTGTCCTTGTACCTGGCCTTGTCCCTGTCTCCCTCCCCGTCCTCGTCCTCGTCCTCGTCCTCGCCCTCGTCCCCGTCCTTGTCCTCGTCTTTCGTCTCTACTCATTTCCTTTTTCACGCTTCTGCCTTGAACGCCTCTGCCTCTACCTCGGCCCCTACTTTTACGGCAGTTCCTCATTACTGCGAGCATAGCACTCTGAATAATTTGCGAGAGCAAACCATGCTGGGACAAAAAAGTTTATGTTAAAATAGACTAAATATCTTTTATTACGTAAATATATAAGCGAAACTACACGTTCCACAAATCTTAGTATTAACTTCGTCGTCGGTCGTCCTTTCAATATACAGGGTATCTCAGACTCTCCAGTTTTTGTGAAAGCACAAAATGGACTGAAGTGAAAACATAAAAGTCCTATATCGTTCAGCGATAAATCTCATCAGCAACAAATCTCGAGATATTAATTGAAGAAAATTGGTTGAACAATCACGCACGATATGGTAGATGAGTTGTAGTGGTGATATATGTTTGTACATTAAATCAAATTGAACAAAAAAGCCCTTTATCATTTTGCAAATAACCGCGTAGATTTTTAGTTATTAACGAAAGAGGAAATCGCTACACGATTGTACACGATAATGCACAAATCTTCTTTAATTAATATTAAAAAATTTATGTGGTTACTTGCAAAGTGATAGAGGACTTTTTTATTCAGTTTGATTTAATGTATAAGTATACAACAGCAGATAGAGGAGAGCCTGGAACACTTCGTACGTATATGTCGTATATATATTGAATTCATCAATGAAACTTTTCATTTTTCATGAACTCAGGTAGATTAGGTCAAACGGAACAAAAAATTCCTCCACCGTTTTGTGAACGATCACGTAAAATTTTGAGTTATTAATCAAAGAAGATTTCTAAATAATCACACGCCATACGGTAGATGAGCTGTGGTGGCGACGTTTATCACTGTATACTTGTAGATTAAGTCAAATTAAACAAAAATGTTCTCTACCATTTTTCAAATGACGACATAGATGTTTAGTTATTAATTAAAGAAAAATGGTGCATTATCATGCATAATTGTAGACTGATATTTTTTGATCAATAACTAAATATATATGTAATCATTTGGAGAATGGTAGGAGAGGACTTTTTTGTTCAGTTTGACCTAATATACAAGCAGCAGACGTCGCCATCACAGATCATTTACTGTATGGTGCATGATCATTCATGAATCTTCTTTGATTGATAACTTAGAATTTTACGTGTTGTTCGTAAAATGACAGAGGAATTTTTTGTTTAGTTTAACCTAATCTACTTGTACACCGCGACTCCTCTATGAGTTCTCGGACACCCGGTATATTCGATAAAACATCAAAACTTTCAAATGTAAACTATGTATACATTTTTATACTTACAGTTAATACGATCGGCTCAGTTGCTGTCGGGACCATCGTTGTCGCTGGGTTCGTCGAAGCTGTCGAGGGTTTCAGAGTCGTTGTCGAGGTCGTTATTGCCGTCGTGGCCGACGTTACCGTTGTAGCTGACGTCGTCGTCATCGTCGAAGTCGAAGTCGACGTCGTCGACGTCGTCGTCGGCGTCGACATCGCCGTCGTCGCTGTTACTTCCTGCATTTTTAGCTGGAAAAATTAAGAAGAGATACAAATTATAAGGTGTAAATATAAACATGCAATTTTGTACATGCAATTTTGTACATGCATGTTTATACTTACATGTTATAATTGTTTTGTACTTTTGTACAATGAATTGTGTACTCACAGAATCGTTCTCCGTCATTGCACTCACTCGCCCGAATTCCCTCAATCTGGGCACTGAGTGATCACAGTAGTGATGCGATTTCGAGCCCGAATCAATGGATCTATTTTCTATCGTTGAACTGGAGCTGCACTAGTTCTCTCTCATTTTTCTTCCACCGCGTTTTATCTGTCTCTTTTTAAGTCTTTTTAGTTCCGAAAGTGTTCACTAGTTTAGCAATAGAAAACAAATCCAACGGCCCATTCTGAATCCTCTTTTATCGATAAAAGTGCCTTAAATATAGCTTCTCAGCCAATCAGGTGGCTCCTAAATGTCTCGACCTAACTGCCGTCACGATAAGATGTGTCCGAATAAGTTCGGACCTTGTGATTTTTGAAACGTTGCTTGGGATCTTCCTAGGCCTTATTCTATTCATTATAAGGATTGGAGAATGGCGTATGGGGATAACCTTTTCCCCCGGAGCCAATACAGAACAGAACAGAACAGGTGGCTCCTAAGGGTGCCGTCCCATTGAGCACGGATCGGAACGCCGGATCGGATTTCTTACTATAATGAGCGTTCCGTTCTCTAGTTCCGTTCCGTAAAAGTTTCCTTTACCAGTCCCATGTAGCAAAAACGGAACGGATTTCTAGTTATAAAATATATTTCACTCTTCAATTAAATATTTCAGAATATTCATGACAATGTTATCGGCAAGATAATTGCATAAATTATGTATATAATTAATTCTGTCGCCTCAAAATAACGAAATATTGACGAATTAATCATTATTATTTGCGACCGACGCGCCATTCCGTTCCGTTTTTGCTACATAGGACTGGTAGAGGAAACTTTAACGGAACTAGAGAACGGAACGCTCATTATAGTAAGAAATCCGATCCGTGCTCAATGGGACGGCACCCTAAGCCTCTTTTAAAGGCTCATTTATCGTTCAAAGAGAACTCAGAATACGGGCCAATGTGTCGATATATGGTGTTCTTTGCTTTGTTCTTTTTAGCTGCATTGCTGAACTAGTGCAAAAATAGAGTGAGAGAAAGTATATTTATTTCACTCTAATTTATTGCACTAGTTCAGCAAAGCAGCTAAAAAAATAGACCACTTTCAGCTGACTGCTGAACTGGTGCAATAAGTTAAAGTGAGAGAAGTATATCTTTTCTCACTTTAACTTAAGCCCGTATCAGACTATAAATTAGAATTGAGATTGAATTGAAATTTAGCCAATCAGAGCAAAATTCACTAAGCTCAAGTTTGGTCAATTTTCAATTCAATCTCAATCTTAATCTGTAGTCTGATACGGGCTTTATTGTATTAGTTCAGTAGTGCAGCTAAAAAAACAGAGCATAGGTCGCGTTTTTGGGAGGTTCAGTTGCCCACGGTTCATTTGCTCACCACTAATCACAACCACATGTAATTTAGGGATTTTCTAGTGTCGACCAATTGATGTAGCTTGTGAATAATTTCTTAAGTCCCGATCTACAATAGGTGTAATAAGCTTCAAGCCTTAAGAAATTAACCAATCACAGTGGAATTATAGAGGAATAATCAGTTGTGATTGGTTAATTTCTTACGGTTTAAAGCTTACTATACCTATTGTAGATCGGGACTGAAGCTTAAGGCCTGTATTTTGAGTTCTCTTTTAACGATAAATGAACCTCTAAAAGAGGTTTAGGAGCTACCTGATTGGCTGAAAAGCTACATTTAAGGCACTTTTATCGATAAAAGAGGATTCAGAATATGGGACTAAATCTTCATTGTAGACTACGCTTAACACATAGACTGCGTTCGCTTTGGGCATTTATGCGCTGTAAGCGTCATTCCATCTTTTTCCCGCATATAATGAGCAATAAAGATAGAATGACGCTTACAGCGCGTAAGCGCCCAAAGCGAACGCAGTCATAAGAGGCCCATATCTGAACCTTCTTTTATCGATAAAAATGCCTTAAATATAGCTTCTCAGCCAATCAGGTGGCTTCTAAGCCTCTTTTAGAGACACTTTTATAGATAAAAGAGGGTTCAGAATATAAGCCAAGGAAATATATGGATCTTCTCGCGCGCGTCCAAATAGATTTGAATATCCCTACTCCACGTCACGTGACCTCTTCGGTTTGGTTGGTGAGATCAATGGTAGAGGCGCTAAAAATCATTCCCCTCCTTCCAAGACGAAAGTTAGGCCCCGCTGCTTTCTTTGCATCACTGCTGCAGTTTACTGGTAAAACTCTGATTCTACATTCAGTTGCCTGCAGTCGCTCGAGCCGTTCGAACGTCGGTCGACGTGTATCGACGCGCGTTATCTCGCGGTGCGAATCGCGCGTCGCACTCTGCTCCCGTCGTTTCGACGTTGCGTTACGTTGTCGATCCTGATACGCGACACGTCGTGCGCTCCAGCACCCGCGTTCGGGTTGTGCGTAAGTGCCGACTCGTCACAATGGACGGCTGAATCCGCGCAACACATTGATCCCACGTTCTGCGCTATTCCAGTTACGAAGGCCGTATTAATTATCGCGACGGTGTCATCGTCGGCGACGTGTGTAAGTATTACTTATACACACGTTACTTGATCGTGCGGCTCTGATCGTTCTCCGCCGCTTCGTTGCGCTCTCGATATTCTTCTTCCAGAGAGAGAGAGAGAGAAAGAGAGTGAGTGAATGAGTAAGTGAGTCGGTATGATGTCGTTAGATCTGTTTTTTTCTTCGAAAACACAGACATTTTCTTAGTATTTTCCTTCTACATTTCTCTTGGCCTGTTTTTTTTTCCCTATCTTTATTTTGCTTTGACTACGATGTTGATTGTTTACAGATAAGTCTAATCGTACTTTCTTTTTCGTAAGTAATTTTTTTATTACGTATCTACTTGCACGCGCGTATCTCGTACTGATAAGTTCACGCACCTGCGCAACCTTGATCTTGATGCATTAATTTAAAAATTTGCCGTTTTCTATCTTACATTATTTCAGATAAGACGCGCGCCTTATTATAACTCTCGAAAACGCGTTCTTTCCAAGCAATGTGCGAAGAAACGCTCGCGACAGTGGAGCGCGCACTTTGTCGGCGCCGAGGGCAGCGCTGCAAAGAGTCGCTTTGATACACTCGTATCTGCCGTGTTGATCTAACGCACTTGTCGATAACACAAGATCACCTGCATTTACCGTGCTTGTCTGCTATTCGGCTATTGCGTAACGCGTGAAGAACCTGTAAGCGAGTAGGATTCAGGCGGCGCCCGTTTTACGTCTTATCCCGCCTTGCGCTTCTTACCAACGCCCGAAGAGTATCGCGCTATCGTAATTGCTTTGATAATTGCGTCTCGCGGTGAGAACAAGTGCGAGTTGCTATGCTGTTGAAAGAGCTCGCCGATCGCCGTGAAATTATTCTCGTTGTTTTTTAGCGCATTTGCTTTTACCGGGACGAGAAACGCGACTATTTTGTTCGACAATTGTATATTTTACTTTGAACATCTTTAATTCTTTATTTATTTTTTTTTGAACGTCGATTATTCTCTTCTCTTTGTATTGAAAGAAACGGGAATTTGATTATATAATTATATTTTCAGTGGAAAAAACAATGATTGATACATGTGACTACAATTATACAGTGAGAGAATTATTGTTAGGAAAACCTAAAAGAAATTTTTTTTAATAAGCGTTACTATACATGTTGTTAGTGATAATAATGTTGTACCTATAATTCCCCCACGCAATAAAGAAAGAACATTTAATCAACGTCTTGAAATGTTGATTTTACGTGTATCTCTTAAAAATGCGTTTCTACTTAATATTTCAAAAATATTCCAAAGATATTGTCGGATAATGTGGTTTTGTTAAATATTGCAAAAATATTTCAGAAATATCATAAATATCAGATAGCACAAATATTTTATGAATATACGTATAATATTATAGACAAGGATTCATATGTTTATAATAAAAAAAATGTTTTTAGAACATGCGTAAGATTTATTTCCTGCGCGTGTGCAATGTGCATTCATGCAGTTAAACAGTTTTTCAGATGTTCAAATATTAAAACTCTTGCTTCCTGTAATCTTGATTGATAATGTCAGAGGCAAAAAAATACGATAAAAATTCTTGCAAAATACGTTAAAATAAAAAATATACTCATAAAATAACATTTGCAATCGGGCGTATATATATAATAATCCAAATGCTTTCCTTGTGTTCTAAAAATCAATAAATGATCGTAAAATTAACCCGGCATGCAACCTATTTTTTCTTATGACCTTGTCACGTTAATTTTATTTATGATTATTGATTGTTGGAACAAAAGGAGTTTTCGAATCATTTTACACATCTCGATCGATTGCAAGCGTCATTTTATGGATACATCTTTTTATTTTAATGTATTTTACAAGAATTTTTAGCGTGCGTTTCCTCGTTTCTAACGTTATAAATCAAGATAGCCGCGACAAGGACATAGGAGCATTAATATGCATTTATTATAACTTAGTAATAAAACATATTTACGAAATGAAATACTGAAATTCTTAAATCGTAAGAAAAATCAGCGACTGTGGTCAAATTGCTTATTGCTTACGTCTTACTATTTAAGTTTTTTGTGTTTGGCCTTTAGTATCGCTAAGAAATGTCAGAAGTAAGCCATTGTTTTACAGACTGGAACTCATCTTTCATTAGACATGTCCATAGAACCCATCCTACCGTTTCCCGTCCATAATCATGCACCAATCTTCTTTAATTAATAACTCAAAATTTTACGTGATTCCTTGAGAATTGGTAGAGGAGTTTTGTTCAGTTTGATTAGGTTGGTTATTCTGGTTAATTGTCTATATATATGTATAGAGACATATAGAGAAGCAGGAAAATAAAGAAGAGAAGAGATTGTTGACCTGTCAAATCCGTAAGGTCGCGCATGCTGTCCGATTCGATATATCTACAATGTTTCCGTAGGCGTATGTGGACGCACGTGTTGCGTGTGCGTTTCGTTAAATGATGAAATTACCTAGGTAGACTTTCATCATTATCACGACGTGAGATTAGTGATGACTTTATCACTCAAATCTTTGATGGAAGCTCTACAATTCTTTTAATTACACTTACGAAATAAAAACATTACTATGTATTGAATTAAAATCTTTGATTGAATCTTTGATGGAAGCTTTACAATTCTTTTAATTACACTTACGAAACAAAAACACTACTGTGTATTGAATTAATGACTAAATTTATATCATACAATAATGTAAATTTTTTGTTGTATTGATGCAAAAAGTCACACTCAGATTTTCATACTACACTAAACATGGCATATTATTTGGAGCAAATTTGGATCATTTTTTCCGTATTTCTATTTTGTTATTTTATCTGAAATAAATATGAATGTAATTTGATTAATCGTATTAACTCATTAAGACCCAAGAAAAAACCGCTAAGGACGCTAATAGGCTTTTAAAAACAATCTAAATCAGGGCAAAACGTCGAAATTTGTTAAAAAGTGAAAAAAAAATTTGTGTTGGATTTTAAAATTCAATGGCGCACTAATATATCGGCCCGAAAATTTGAAATTTTGACCTATTTGAGTGAAAATCCGTATAGAGGGGGTTTTGGGTTCGCTGAGTATGAATATGCACTTATTTTTTCAAAATTTTTCAAAACGTACTTTCATTGAAATAAATCAAAATTAAAAATTTTTGGCCGCCATATTGATTTTTAAAGTCAAAAACCATTTTTTTTCTACAGTTTGCTAAAGTATGATGTTTTGCCCCAAAACAAACACCTTCGAAAAGTAGCTTATAATTTGGTTGGATTTTTCGCCAAATAACAAAACTATGTCAAATTTTCGCATTTTTGGGCGGTCATATTGATCCGTCATTACGAATTTTGAAAAAATAAGTACACATTCATACTCAGCGAACCCTAAACCCCCTTTATACGGATTTTCACTCAAATAGGTCAAAATTTTTGGGCCGACATATTGGTCCGCCATCTTGAATTTTGAAATTCAACACAAATTTTTTTTTCACTTTTTAACAAATTTCGACGTTTGCCCTAATTTAGATGGTTTTTGAAAGCCTATCCTTAGCAGTTTTCTTTTGGGCTTTAATGGGTTAATCGTAAATTCAATGTTGCCGAATTTCGTAATATACTCAAAGTTACTGTAAAGTTTACATACGTGTGTTGGAATAGCCGCGCCAATAGTAAATCTTCATGGACGCGTAATTTTATGTAAGCCGGCATAAGAAGTTTCGTAACGTACATGAAAGAGCAGTGTAAACTTGCATCCTTCGACGGCTTCGTTGAAGAGATACAAGAAAAAAGAAGTAGTCGATCTTTTAACCCCGGAATAGTAATGCGATTTTTCTTAATAATACCAGCGGTTGTATGACTCATTGCGGTTTACCATTCTTCGCGGTTTACATTGCTCGAGAATAAAAGCATACGCCGTACTCTCGTTTGCATTCTTGAGAGATGCAGATTGCAGTAATTTGATGGGCGCGAGATCGCGCGTACGTGGAGAAAATGCGTGGAGAATCTATTTTTACAACTGTAATCGTCATACCGTCAGGTAGCTCGCAATGTTAATATCATTAGAGTTGCGTCGTAGATTTCAAGATGACATTTACACGAATTGTTTATATATTGTTTATTTGATGCATACATGGTCTTTTTTAGATAAAAGATAAAATTTTTATTTCATTAGATGACAGATTAATAGATTGACTTCTCTGAAGGTACAAATGTAACCAGAGAATTGTGTGGTTCTCTAACTTGTTTAGGAAACAACGTCCATAAATTTACATCAGAATTCTAAAGGTCAAATAAAAGTGTAAACTTTTCTTAATTAACGTTTGAGCAAGCCATATTCTTTAAACGAAATTCATAAATTATTTATTGTCTGCATAAATGACATCTTATTCGTACACGGAGAGAATATTATAATTTCTTTTCATATAAAACCTTTTCAATTTTACTCTATGGACAATTAGTAGTTTACCTTATTAAGAGACATAATAAATTTTGCTGAAGATAGCAAAGTTTTTAATCTACTCTATGGACAATTAGTAGTTTACCTTATTAAGAGACATAATAAATTTTGCTGAAGATAGCAAAGTTTTTAATAGTACGTTTCAGTTCGTAAAGCTTGATCCTTAATGTGTTATTTGCTTCCTGCTTCTTTTTTTATCTCTTTCTGACTCAAACCTTAAGCCTACAATATGCTCATTTTGCGTTTTGTTTCTTGTCTTCTGTCTTTTTCTAGCTTTAAGGCTCGAGTAAGAAAGAGAAAGAAGCAGTAAGCAAAGAACACATTGTAGATCAAGCTTAAAGCTTTAAGCCAGAAAAAGACAAAAAACAGAACGCAAAGAACATATTGTAGATCAGTATAAACAATGTATATGAAATGAAGAGACAGTAAATTCCTGCAGAATGTCGCTCCATTTCTCTGTTACGACTGTACTTACTGTTTACTTTCCTCTTCGTGTAGTTATAAATTCTCTTCATGCAGTTTCTACGTAAACGTAGAATATTACAATTTATGATGCTCGATCCTGAGGGTCAATTATGTATCTGAAAACGGAGTGAAAATGACAAAAGTGAGGAAATTTACTAGAATATTTGTAACTTCATTGATCAATGCCTAGTGAATTTGTTCACTTTTGTAATTTTCACTCCGTTTCGAGATACACAATCGATGCTCTGATTAGTTTCGCATCCACAGGTATTAACGATATTTCTGTTTTTTTTTCCAGATCAGCTGCGAGATTATTGCAAAGCTGAAAAAGAGCATCCTATTTACCCGACCTACTTCGAAAATCTTCGCATCGCAGCCGTGCCGTGTTTAATTAGCATAAGACGCGCATAGTGAACATCCGGGAAGTGACCCCGGAGACGACCCGGCAATCGGTTCCGATCAAATACTTCTTGACCCGCCCCGATATTTTACTTTCTCAAAGTGCGCGAACAGCGAACGAGGGACCAAAATGGACCGAGTTTTCATAGACGAGGAGACGGGCGAGGATCTGATTCATCCGCTGGTTAACTGCGACATTCGCGACCATCCGATCAATTCGACGACGGTGAACAACGCGGAAACCGGGGAACCGGAAGTCAGTCTTGTGGAATACTCGACGGTCAGAGGTCACTTCAGGAGAGTGCCGTTTCAGGTAACGCCACCGGCCGCCAAATACCTCAGCTTTTGTTTTAGAACACGGAAAGACACCTTGAACGATTATGTGACTCTTTCCTAAAAGCGGAAAAGTGGAAAGTTTCTTTTTGTTTAAACGCAAACCTGACGCGCGCACGTGACTTTAGCGATTATGTTTGTTGGAACAACAAAAACGTAAAACTTTCCACGTTTGCGCTCCTAGTAAGAGCAGATAGTGACTTTTTAGAATAGTTTTACATTAAAAAGAAATTAAAAAAGCAATTATTAGTTAGTAATAATATTTAAGAAATAATACTTAGTATATAATAATATAATAAATATATAATAATACTTAATAATACTTAATAATACTTAATAATAAGTAATAATACTTAAGAAACAAATTTTAATTATGCCTCTTTAATTTATTTTTTATAGAGGGCCTCCTTTTGTACGAAAGAAGATAACAGATTGCGTAAATATCCCTAAAGAATAGTTGAAAGTAACAATAAAGTAGCAGTACAGTTTGGTATGCAGTTTTATATCAAACGAAATTTTAAGGAGAAAATCTTAAAAGCGATTCAAAAAAAGAAGTTCGCATATCTTTAGTTATATAACATGGATTTGTTTAAATTATATGCAATCATGGATTTATGTAAACGAAAGCAGATCGAGGGAAGGTGGGAAAGAAGTTTTCCTTTCGCAGACATTCGCGCGCGAATCTCGATTGGTGATAAATTGCACTCGATATATATTTCTAGTGCGTAACGTACGCCTCGATACTTTTACGTAAGTGCGATGACTTTAATGAGCGGCTGGCGACTTCGCGGTGTCTACATTTAACTTAGACGTGTTTATCGCGTATAAATATGCGTACTTCGTGCGTGTTTTCGAACTTACCGCCATTATCATTCTGTAAACGAGATATGATAGCGTCTGCACATCAGTATCGTGTATCGCGTGGCCGCAAAAATATCACAAGAGCACCGTCTGTTTTCCTCCCGATCGTAGATATCGACGGGCAAAACTTTATCGTTGTCGTCGACAGTGGCAAATTTTTGACGGTAGCGAAGAGGCAATTCTAACTCGAGACGTGTCTCTGCTCGCAGATACCGAAAGAGGTGAAGGAGAGCTTATCTCTGAAGAAGTCGTCGAGGAAACGCCACTTGATGGATCTGGAGCCGGTCCCGGCCGGCGCCTCCTTCGGCCAGATCAATCCCATCTGCCTGTTCTTACCGGCCATCATCTATTTCCGCTGGTTCCTCGCTCTGTTGATGCTCTTCGAGGTAGACATAAACATTGTAAAATTTTGGAAGTACTTGCGAAGATGTAGAATCGCTAAATTCGGTAATCTGTGCCGGCGAATCTATTTGATATTAAGGTCGTTCTGCACGTATGGGCGCACCACAAGAACAAGGCCCTGAAGAACGCCAGCGTATACTTCCGCTCACCGTTTCACGATATCTCCGCCGAATTCTGCGCTCTCTGTCAAAACGAGACCTGCATGAATCGCGTCGGTAAGATGCACCAGATCCGGATGCACAAGTTCCTGCGCCAGTGCAACTACATGAAGAGGGTAGTGACGTGAGAGTCCGTACGTCGAGAGTTTCATCATACGATAACGATAATCGCGATCGGCCCGTAAACGGCCGTGAATTGTTATAACCGTTTTACTTGTTTCTTAACACGGTGGTTATTGTCGACAAACAACTAATCTATATTTTGTTAAGTTTTATATCTACCTGTTCTTTCTCTTAAGAGGGGTGAGTCCTATGCAGAAAAAAAAATTTATATACAGATATTAAAAACTTCGTAATACACCACGCGCGTGGTAAAGTGATTTTATATCGTTTCTTCTTTTTTATTACAATCCCGTAGGAAGGCTTACAGTAAAATCCCTTTAGTCAAGATACACCAACTTGCTATAAAATATATTACTATGTTATTCCCTAAATGTATTTTATTACATAAAACACATATAACAATGTTTTTATTTAATCTTCCTCTTATATTAAAAAATTCAAACTCGATATATATATACATAGTGCCCCAGATTATCGTTCTCAGATTTCGCGAGAGCATAGGAACGGATTGGGGTGAATGTAGAAGTTCCATATCGTTTTTTGCGATATTCATAATAAATCTCAAGATATTAATTAAAGATTGGTGAATAATTACGATATGGTAGATGTGTATAATGGCTGTTGTGTGCTTGCATATTAAGTCAAATTAAAAAGTCCTCTCTATCATTTTGCAAATAATCATTTAGATTTTTAGTTATTAATGAAAGAAAATTGTTACATGATCGTGCGCGATAATGCACAAATTTTCTTTAATTAATATCTAAAAATCTATGTGGTCATTTGCAAATTGGTAGAGAACTTTTTTGTTCAGTTCGACCTAATGCATAGTACAATACATAAATGCATAATACAATAGTAGATGGCGCTACTACAGCTCATCTATTGTATCGCGCGTGATCATTCATCAGTCTTTTTTAATTAATATCTCGAGATTTAATACGAATATCGCAAAATAGTACGGGACTTTTATGTTAACTTCAATCCGTTCTATGCTCATGCGAAATTTGACAATGGTAATCTGGGACACCCTGTATATTCAAACGTAAAATAAGTTACCGCGTTATCCCTTAGACGTATCTCATTATCTGACAATCATCGTATCGACAGTTCAGCCGATCTAAGTCTCATTTAACAAACATGAAGACATTTGCATCGTGGTATCAGTCTATCGCTTCTTGACGCGGATTAAAATTATGTCTATTCGATCGACAAGAAGACACTGATTGTAGAATGCGTGTTAATTGTGTTCTCTTATGACCATTATTATCAACGTGTATTTTCCCGATCTCACTATCATCGCAGCGCCAAGATCTCTTTGGTGGCAATTCGGCAAATGCCGTTGAAGTTCGCGGCGAGATAAGCCCGCCAGAAACGACACCTGCCCCAGATCACTGCGGGGTAATTCGGGCTCTGTATTCCGTGGAATATGCGAGCCACGGCGCGACCGGTGAACTTGGTGTCTCTGTAGCACAATACCAAGCTGCGTACGTCGGCGGCGATCTGATGCTCGTTCGCCACTTTGTCCTGCGGAATGAACGAGATTAGTATCCGCGTGGGTCAATCCGTGCGCCAACTGTTCTATGAACGAAGAGTCTCAAATATCTCTCTGTCAAAAGCCACACCTGTAAACTTATGCCGACGTCATCCAAAGGAGTATCCGATTGAAAGTATTTTCGGACGGTGTCCTTGAGTTCTTCCGATCTCTTCGCGACATCGTCGTCCAAGACCGAGCAGTGCTTGATCGACGATACGCTGATTTTGTTGAGTGCGGTGGATATGATCTCGAGCTGGCGCAGACATGAAGATTCCTGAGATTGAGTGCGTGCGATCAGCGCGTCCAGCGCTTCGTCCAGCTCGACGTCGGAGAGATCGCCCGGCGCTTTCACTCGTAAGCCGAGCTTGTCATAATGCATCGATATAGATGAGCGCTTCATCCGGCCGTCAGCTGCAAGACACATTTGATCGTGTGAATAAAACATTCCAAAGAAAGCGGGAAGATCCGTAGAGGTGAAATTTTATGAGTACACTCCTCACCTGCCGTCGTCCATTCTAGATTTTTAAGGTGGCTCTTCACCACACCGCTGTCCCAACCGATGGCCGATGCAACGTCGATAACTGGGAACTCTATAATGTTACTGTCTTCGTGCGTGATTCCCTTTTGCATGTCTAGCGCTATCGCCATCGCGAGCGGTGGAGACTACAACAAAATATATATTTTTTAATGATTGTATATCTACTCTGCTATATATATATATATACAGGGTGTCTCATATTCTCCTCCGGGCATTTTGTGGGGACGTAGAACAGGTTGAGGTGAACATAAAAGTCCTATACCGTTTTGCGATATTCGCAATAATTATCGAGATATTAATTGTAGAAAACTTGTAAATGATCATGCAGAATATGGTAAATGAGTCATAGTAGCGACGACTGCCGTCGTGTACTTATACTTTAGGTCAAATAGAACAAAAAAGTCCTCTACCATTTTCCAAATAATCACATAGATTTTTAATTATTAATTAAAGAAGATTATTGCACGATTTTACGTGATAATGCACTCATCTTCTTTAATTAATAATTAAAAATCTATGTGATTATTTGCAAAATGGTAGAGGACTTTTTTGTTCAATTTGACCTAAAGTATAAGTACACGACGCCAGTCGTCGCTATTATAACTCACTTACCATATCCTGCATGATCATTTACAAATTTTCTACAATATCTCGATAATTATTGCGAATATTACAAAATGATATAGGACTTTTATGTTCACCTCAACCTGTTCCACGTTCTCACAAAATGCCCGGAAGAGAGTGTGAGACATCCTGTGTGCACACGCACACACACACACACATCATTTTAAACGAAATCTTACAGATTGCGCCGCTTGTTTGAGAGCTTGTGGCCCATTATAGCTCGAAACTCGGGCTCGCACGTATACGGACGAGAGTACGGTGATAAATTTCTTCGGATGCAGTTCAAGATAGCACAGTAACGTCGAGATCGTCTCTTCCGTGATGTCGAGGGCTTGAACGGTTTCATCGATCGGAAGGGCGACCTCGTGGCCAGGACACCTGCGACCAGAATCCTTGGAGTTTATTTTCGCACAAGAGCAAGGAATGAATATTCTCTGCAGCAGATGCCTGATCGTGTGTCTGTCGACGCCATTTGCGTGTATGTGTCTGCGTAACTCCCACTTATCGCTGTTCTCCTGTGTTCAAGAATAACAGATCTGAATTAAGTCAAGTAGCGACCGAATTAATTACAAGACCCGACGAAGACTGGTGAACTAAAGCTTTGGGGAAAATAATCTTGGATATTTAGCTCGATACGATACCATCGGATTTAAAAATAGGTGGCAGTGCGCCGTGAGACCGTCTCTACCGGCACGACCGACTTCCTGCACGTATCCTTCGAAGGTGCCGGGCATGTTATAGTGAATGACTGCACGAATGTCCGATTTATTGATACCCATCCCGAACGCCACGGTGGCGACCACGATCTTAATTTTTCCACTCATGAACTCCTTTTGCACGACCTTACGTCGATGCGCCGTCATGCCTGCGTGGTAGGCTTCGGCTATCGTGGATACTTTTGCGTTCGGCTTCTCAGGATTTCGCGGATCCTACAAATACGTGTTTTAGTATCACTTCAAGTCGAGAGATATGCAGAATATTACCGAAATGACGACAACTCGAAAGAGAGCGATTCTACTGAAGAAATAAGTAAAAACTGTGCAGTAATTTTTTTTTACGTATAACATTTTGTTTTCGAGTAAACTGATGTTGAAAAACGCACGTACTGAATGAATATTCAAATAATATTGTTTTCAAAAACTAAGCACCATATAAAAAAATGTTATTCTACATTTCTAACTTATCTTTTCACATAGAATCGTCTCCTTGCGGATTGTACTCGGCAAATACCTTATACTTCACATTGTAATATTTACCTGTAGAGACACTCTCAACAAGCCTGCGACCCTCGCGCATTCTTCCCTGCGGGTGCAGTAGACTATCACAGAATTGCACTCCTGGAATCTTTCGCTCCTCAGCAGCGCTATCAGAGCGTGATCCTTGTTCTCATCCTTGGAGACTGTCAGGACGAGGTTCTTGGGCATCGGCACGTCCGATATAACTCCAGCCATGCCGTCAGGTAGATCCAGGTGATTTACTATACTCTCCGCCGTTGCTCGCGTGGCGGTTGCTGTGAGTCCCAGCACCGTCTTCACGCCGAATTTCTTCTTGAGAACCCGGCAGAGCATCAGGTAGGACGGCCGGAAATTGTGCGACCACTGGGAGATGCAGTGGGCCTCGTCGATGCAGGCGAACGCGATCGGCGGTAGCTGCCTGAACAGGGCGCCGAAGCCGGTGGATTTCTCACCGGCCACCACCGCTTCCGGCGACACCAGCAGGATGTTCACTTTGCCGTCCTTCACCGCCTGCATCACTTGCTCCCTCACTTTCGGACTTTGGCTGGTGTGCAAGCACGCAGCGGACAGAAAGAGAGGCACGCCCGTCACTTGATCGTCCATCAAGGATACTAACGGCGAGATCACGAGGGTGATGCAGCGTGAGTGTTGCGAATACAAGTAGGCCGGTAGCTGGTAGCACAGGGATTTCCCGGAGCCCGTCGACAGCGTTACCAGGGTGGACCGGCCGGACAGCACCCTCATCACCGCCTTCTCCTGGCCGGTTTTGAAGCTGTCGTGGCCGAACATGCGTAGCGTCTCGAAAACTTCTGGCGGGGTTTCGACGAGGCTACCGTCTTCGTTTGTAGGATACAACGGATTGACTGTCTCCATTTGAGGTGGTAATAGTCGCGATAACAGTTCTTGTGGTATCTTGTGTCCGAGTGCAGGCGTATCCTTCTCCTCAACGGAATCCGCAAAGTCGTCACTGAATAATTTCGCCATGAGTTCTTCCACATCTTCTTTTCCTTCCTTTTTTTCCTTTTCTTCATACTGGGAATCTGAAGGTTTTGCAATGAAGAAAGATGGCCTTTCGGGGAGCTGGTCGATCTTGTGGCTGTGAGCGATCATGGCGTTCTGACTCGCCATCCTTTCGGCTTCCTCCAAAGTCGGGAAGCTCGACGATTCGTCGATCTCCTTCAGAGGCAGAAGAGCATCGCCCTTGGAAACCGTGCAATTCTTGGCGAAGTGTCCAGACTCTCCGCACTTGAAGCACGTCATGCCGTTTTTGTCGATCAGGTCAGCCGCGTCCAAGTTGCTCTCGCTGGACGCTAAGTCCTTCTTCCTTTGTTTCCACTGATTCTTCTTGTACTTGGAAAAGTTGAAATTCTTCTTGCCTCTAACAAACACTTTCTTCTTCAGGTTGATCCTGACAAAGTTGTCGTTCATTGTTCCAGCGGCCATTTTCTTTTGCAGCTTCTCTTTGTCGGTCAGTTTTGTCTTCGAAGGTACGGAAACGTTTTTCTCAGACTCAACGGCGGAAACTGATTCGGAGAACTGCGCGATGAGATCGCCAGTTCCTGTGGGCTTCATTGCGAAGCGTGGAACTGCCTCGATCGTTTCCACACCGTATATAAGAATTTTCTCAGTTTCCGACTCCGAATTTCGTTCTTCGTCATCCTTCCTTAAATTCGGTCGCGTCCTAGTAGATCTCCTTACGTTGGAATTTTCTCCGTTACTCGTCGGCTTTCTCTTACTTCGTTCGCCCGTAGATTTCTTAACTGAACGTGTCCCTGCGACGCTTTTTTTCATTTTTGTCTTAGTCTTCCTATTTTTCTTACTCTCTTCCACGTAATCAGAATCAGAGTCGTCAGACAGAGTTTGTTTCGCGCTGCGATGCGATGTGCGTGACTTCGTTGATTTCTCTGCGGGAACAGAGGAGTCTTCTCGGTTCAAATCAACCGATTTGGAAGTAGTATCCACCGTCTTGGAGTTGCATTTGGCTCGCTCGGTTTCGGCCTGTGAAATATCCTCAGTTATTGCTCTGTCTTTGACGATAATATTCGACTCAACATGTGGGTTTTTGGCGGCTTTCAGAGTTCTTGCAGATTCGTCCGACAGACTGAAGCCAGCATTAACATCGGGAGTCAAATTAAACGCGCTAATATTGTCAGTTTTAGTATGTACTAGATTCAAACTCCTGTCAATGTTGGGAATCAGTGGGAAGGTATCGATGCCGATTGCATCGTTGGAGTCGACTTGGATGCATAGTCGCTTCGCGGGGCGACCCTCTTGGTCGCTCAAGCGTTTCTTGAAATTCCCGACACGTTTGTTCCTACGCTCCTCCTCGGAGTCGCTGTTACATATGAAATCCTCCTCGTCGGAAAGCTGGGGCGACGCAGCGCAGGGATTTACCGCGGTGGACACCGAGTCCTTCGGGGAGTGTATGCTGGATTCCATGGACTCCACTCCGGAGTCGCTGGTGTTCGAGAGCCTCTGTGTGGTGGTGAACGCCGACATCTCCATGTTACTGTCCTTCGTGCATCGATCCAGCCATCCCGGATTCAGGTTGCGGCTCACACCGGTCACGTGGCCGTCAATCAGTTGTTGGACCGCGTTAATGGAGTGCAGCACGGGTTTGCTTCCCTCGAACGTTACCTTCATCGGCTCGCCGAACACGAGCTTCGTCTCTTCGGCTTCGAGATTATTTCTGCCATCTAAAGTCGCGGTCTTGTGATCGACGTTCGAGTCGCTCGAGGTGGTCTTCTCGGACTTGGTTTTTATCTTAGCCGACGACAACGATTTCCTCGGGTTTCGTTTCGTGAAGGCAGAACTCTCAAATTTGTTTCTAGACAGCTGGAAGGACGAGGATCTACCGATCAGTAAAGATTGCTTCCTCTTCGGCGCTGGTTCCTTGCTCTTGTTCAAATGATCACCCCAGACTCCCTTGACGTTCGCAGGACTCGATTTCTCGGTGTCTGTGATCAGTTTATTGTGTGGATAGATATTCTCCGCGTCTTTCGTGATTTTCTCCGGGCTCGGCTTCTTGTCGTGTCTCTCGTCGCTCATCGGTTTCTGCGGCGATTCGTTAGAAACATTGTCTTGCACATCGTCGCAGAAAGTGATATCCGTGAGAGTTTCCTCGAGCGCGCGCGTCTTCAATTTCCAATACATCTTGTATGATTCTTTAATAGCTATATCAGCTTCTTTTATGTCATTCTGAAATGCATGAAGAGGAGTTTTGTCTTCCCAGAACACACAATTTTAACTTTAATGAGTTAATTTTAACTTAATTTTTAATTAACTTAATTTTAACTTAATTTTAACTTAATTTTTAACTTAATTAAGTTCTTTTTTGTTTTGTAACTTTTGAGGGAATACTATACTTGAAAGTCGTATCGACAGAATACTGACTTTTTTCTGTAAAATTGCACAGAATTGTAAATGTTTTTGTATCCACTTTGGCATCCCCTCTAAATTTGAGTAAATATTATAAGCTTTAAACTTAACTTAGTCAAATAAAAATTAATTTATCTAATTCTGTACAGTGATTTTTATAGGACTGGAAAAAGTAATGCTATTACTTTTCCCAGTCTTTCTGTAATAGCTTGGTAATGTTATCTTTTTTTACTAGTAATGATAATAAATATAATTGTATGATAATAAATATAATTGCATGATGTGTAAAATGTGAATATCTTGAGTGGGTAGCAGTAAATTGTACAAAGTCTTTACAATTTAATAAAGAAAATAACAAAAATTGTAACTTTTTAAGTAATAGCTACAATAACAAGTTACTTTTCAAACTAAATAACATTAAAGATGAATTACTTTTTTCAATTATTAATAAATAATAGTAACAAGTTACTTCTCAAAAGTAACTTTCCCAACCTTGGGTTTTTATTGATTTTTGTTAATATAAAAGCCATATGCATGAAAAAATTGTATGTATATGTATTAGAACCATATCATTATTGTAATTTTAAAGTCAAACATATAATTCTATGTTTAATTTGTCTGACGCGTCGTATTAAAGTGAATATAAAGTGCAAGTCAAATAACTTTATTTAATATCAAGTATGCAAACGCGAGTAAAATAACTCACCTTGTTAGGTTTACGTCCGTACTTTTCCATAAAATCGCTCTCCCATAATTTCACACGAAGCTTATTCTTCAAGTATTTGGTTTTGAAAGCGGGATTCTCGAGAAGTTCCATATTTGTCGTAAAACAAAAGCCTTTAACGGGACTCAGGAGTTATTACGGTCGGAGATGGGACGCGCATTTGAGGTTGGGTTGTTCTGAGTATCTCCCGCGTAAACACGCAACTGAACCAGTGATGAATTTTTGCAAGATGTGACTCGCGCATGCGTACAGAGCAAACGCTCGGAGTCCTCACTTACGTATATACTTTCGTCAAATCTGAGGTATCATTAGGACCCTGCGAGAAAGGAAATGTGAAGGAATTAGAAAGAGGGAGGAAAATTGTTTTGATAGGAATAGAGTGCAATATGAATAATAATAAGGAAATTGACATATTTGTTATTTACTGTAATACTGGAATACTCTCCTTCTTGATTTCTTACTCCTTTTCTCGATGCCACTTGATGTCGGCTGTTGTGGATCATCCATCTTCTTTGTTATAACATCTTCTTTATTAAATTATTTTTTAAGCTATTCACTCTGTACACGTTGACATTTGTTTATAATCACACACGGGACCAGTACAAGGACCCCTTATAGCACCTACTATTACACCCTAGATATATTTCTGAACGCAGCTGATTTCTACCTGTGACACCGTTTACGTATGCGCACGAATCTTCCTGAGGCGAACATCTTGCAAAAATACATCACTGAATCCTAATCCAATCACAGTCGACGATGTCTCCTTATTATCAAAAATAATCAATTGCGATTGGTCAACTTTCGTACTGCTTAATTCTTGTTTCTAAAGGTTTGCTTTCCAACAAGAGACACAAGTCGACACAAACATTATTCTGGGTGCTTTCCAGTTACAATATCCCTAGACACTTTCATGCACACGGCGACACAAATTGCATTCCAATTGTCGTAATCGTCGACACAACACTATATATCTGTGCTCAGCTCGAGAGCTACTAGTCGCTGTGTAAATTAGTGTTTTCTAGTGATAATTAAAGATAATAAGCATTACGGCTTGAGAAAAGATTGGGTGCTTTCCAATTGCTTAACACATCTTGACACACACGTACACAAAACCAGTTTATTGGTCACATATTATCTAAAATATCTTGTAAGATGATATGCAACCAATAAGCTGGTTTTGTGTAACACAGTGTACGCAACTGGAAAGCACCCATTGACATTTGCGACGTGAATGTATAATATCTTATTTTTTGAAGATAGAAAAAATATGGACAACAAAATACCAAGGCATAGGCATAGTGTTGAAAAATAATTCTAATCCTACTCGACATACGTACACATTAGTATACACTTTGTTCCAATCGAGTCGTGCACAACGTTACATTTTGTGCATTTCTGTGTACGTATGTGTCAAGATGTGTTAAGCAATTGGAAAATACCCACTATGTACCCTACGCCCATTTTCTGGCGATCCGTGTCCGTGTTAAGCGCATAATTGCCTGGTTAAGTATATGGACAGTCCATGTTTTTAATCACGCAATTATGCGCTTAACACGGACACGAATCATCAGAAAATGGACGTAGAATGGACACAAAATAAATCGACACTTTACCGGCAGCGTCTTAAAATAGACGTAGGGAACGTAGTTCCACCTTAAAAATGGGTGCAGATGGCGCATTGAACAGCGTGAAAATCGGTGTCGGTCGAAACGCATGGCGTGGCCGGGTGTATATCAGTTGGACACGGGGCAATTGGACACAGTCCAATCACAAGTCGCTGTTCCAAGGGACCCTACAAATGTCTCTAATCACACGGTGCTGTGATTGGCTGTATCCAAATGCACCGTGTCCAAGTACACCGCTCCCGGCGTGGCCACTCTCAGGTTTCTCTCTGGTATAGACATCTGTGACTTAGAGTCATCGTCAATTTTGTTTTTATTTTTGTGATCCATCCTCGCATTAAAAGCTGTGTTCCGAAATTCACTGCCAGTACTGAAAATCTATAGTTCATGTTACGTTATATAATTTTAGTACTAGCAGTGAATTTCGGAACGCAGCCCAAAACATTAAGTTTTTTTTTGTATAAATAAACCACACTGCAGCTGATAAGAACTGGGTACCTATTATGGACTAAGTTTACACGGCAGCTTAAAACCGGTTTAGTAACTACTGGGTGCTTTCCAATTGCTTAACATTTCTTGACATACACGTACACAGAAATGCACAAAGTGTAACGTTGTGCACGACTCAATTGAAACAATGGGTGCTTTCCAGTTGCGTACACTGTGTTACACAAAACCAGTTTATTGGTTGCATATTATCTTACAAGATATTTTAGATAATATGTGACCAATAAACTGGTTTTGTGTACGTGTGTGTCAAGATGTATTAAGCAATTGGAAAGCACCCATTGGGTCAAGGACCATCTATATTCTGGTGCCACCGACAAATAGTATCTGGATACAGTAAAAATTTTAAGAACATACGGCAAACATAAATTACTTTGCTTGAATAAAAGTGCAATGTAGAAGCAAATATTTCAAGGACTCGAGGACATTTTAACTTTTTTTTTTAATAGGCGTTGCATTTTCATGCTTTCAGGGACAGCCCAACAAAAACAGGAACGTTCTGTCCACGTTGAATCCACGTAAAGAAGTCAATTCCATGTTACTTCCACTTCGATTTCACGTCGATTCCACGGACATTCCCATGGGGAGTGAGCTACAAAAAATTACGACACTTAATTACGATAAAAGTATCAATATTTATGTTCAAGTATGCTATAAAAAATCTTAAAGAAATGTTTTTATTATGTTATAGAAATACAAAGTTACAATTTCTACAATTACTGCAGTTATAAGTATAATTTCTCATTACTGCATTTCATATTAATACTTACTGATAACAGTTTTTCAGCATTTTTTAATATTAACTTTTTATTGTTTAATTCCAAGAGCTTAATACTTTTAAGATTGGTCACACGCTTTTTTAAACGACGATTTTGCTGTTGAATCACTTTCATTTTTTTTTGCAACATTTCAATGTGTCTTATGGCGACATTCCACATTTTTTTTGCTTTTTCTGGGCTTTCTAAGTCGGTGTAATTGCAATCACCAACGTAACGTATGTGGAAACTTTCAAACTGTTCTGGAGGAGTCACAGTCTGAACACTAGCATCTTTTTCGTTATTTTTAACTTTATTCAAATCATGTATGCTGTAATTAATTTAATGCATTTAACAATTATAATACAGATAAAATAAATATTTAAATACTGTTAATCTATAAAATAGTATGCAGTTATTTTATACCTCAGTGGTGTCTGTTTTATAAGTTTCTGGCTGATATTTGATATTTGTGATTCGAATATTGTTGGTACTGATCCCTTTTTTATATGCTTCCGTTGATGCATACCACCAGGAGGATAAAAGAAACATGTATTCACAAAATGTTGACTACAGAGTACCGCTGTTTTAGAGGATGAAAAATTGAAACCCACAGCAGAACACCAAGCTTTATTAAGACTTTCATCTTTAGGAAACCTAATAAAACCGGTTGCAACAGAAATAAATAAAGAATAAAATGTCTTTCTGCAAACAAAATACGAATATTATTTTAAGGTTATGAACATACTTGTGAAAGGAGATGTCATGTTTCTCAGGGTGTAATTTATAACCACAGGCGCAACATGTCTTCATTATAAATATCAAATATAAATTGTCTTCATGTCTTCATTATAAATATCAAATATAAATATAAAACAAAATGACAACAGAATAATATAAATTTTTCTAATTACTTTTGGTTTGCAAATCTTCATACGACAAATGCAAATCTTCATACGACAAATGCAAATGCGAAACGAGGAATGGATGCGCGCGCAACAAGAGAAAGAGGGAAAGAGAGAAAAAACAACCCCTCTATTCTTGTTCTCTTTCTATACGTTGGCTTTACTCGCTTAGACGGCAGAACAAAGACATTCGGAGTCCATGCATTATTATTATTTCTTTATTCGATTCTCTAACAGCACAGATGTCCATAACGGAATAAATTAAATAATAACCCAGACAGCACAAGATTTCCTGAGGACATTCTTAGGATGTCCTGAGGATGATGAAATGTCCTCAGGACTTCCTTAGGATGTTTTCTGGATATTCCCTGGATATCTGTGCTGTTAGGGTTGTTTAGTCTCTGGTATTATTCGCATTATTATAAATTACCAATTTCAATAAGATGAATTGTGGGGCAGATAGTGCCCTTTGAGTTACCTTGATATCTTTAATGGTTGCCGAGAAATGCGCAAAAAATGCAATTAGTAGTAAAATGGCTGTCAACGACATTGGAAAGTACGCACGCTTCCACGGCTTATTTAACGAACCATTATTAATAGTATTATTATAGTATTAGTATTATTACAAATTCTGAATTCCAACAGGATAAATTTTGGATAACATTGTTTTCTTTGAATCACATCGATATCTTTTGTGATTGTCGAGAAATAAGCAAAAAATATGAGCGGCATGTTTAAACATGTATATTTATTTATTGTTTCATATTATCCAAATCCTTTTTTCTTACAAAATTACGCAGAACGCAGAGTAAGGAAGACGGGAGTGATGAGAGATGATCTAGCTTTACGATAAGTTCGCCGCTAGCTCGTTTCGTGCTCTTACGTCGTGCGGTCTGCTTATCAATGGTGAGATCAGGGGGTCGATTGTGTATCTCAAAACGGAGTGAAAATGACAAAAGTGAGCAAATTTACTAGAATATTTGTAACTTCATTGGTCAATGTCTAGTGAATTTTCTCACTTTTGTAATTTTCACTCCGTTTCGAGATACACAATCGACCCCCTGGGGGTCGATTGTGTATCCAAAAACGGAGTGAAAATGGCTGTATTCAGCAGAGGAAACTGCTTTACAACTGTTGTAAATCTGATTTCTAAATTTGATTTCTTTGTAAATCTTGTAAATTTGTGAATCTGATTGGAGTATGCTCTTAATTTTGGTTAAATCCAAGAGTATGTACCAGTCGAATTCACGAATTTTACAACAGTTACAAAGCAGCTTTCTCTGCTGAACGCAGCCAATGACAAAAGTGAGCAAATTTACTAGAATATTTATAACTTCATTGGCCAACGCCTAATGAATTGGCTCACTTTTGTAATTTTCACTCCGTTTCGAGATTCAAATCGACCCCTAGGGGGTGAAAATTATAAAAGTGAAAATTAGTAAAGGCGCACTTTGTTAGATGGCGTTTCGAAAATGCGCCTAGCTCTGGCCACTAAAATCAGGTTGGTGGCCGCTTTCAGGCTTCTCTCTGGTATTGCTCTGACACGCTCTACAATGCTAGATGGCGCCAGGCAGGCCGTTAGTCGAATTTCAACGCGTTAAACGGCTTGGCTATTATTTTCCAAAGAGTAGCTTATGTTTTCCGTTGGAAAAGAGTCCGTTGCGAGCCATTATTTTTAAACAAAGTCAAATAAAATTAAACAGTAAATTGAAAGTTCTTTTATTTTTGCCTGCAGGAGCCATAAATCCAAAACTGTGACGTAATTTTCGACTATGAACGTTTTGTACTGCTGCTGGAAATCATAATCCCCAAATTTCAAGCGAGTTGGCCAGATTCTAATTTCCTCATAGCATAAGATCTTGAAGGGATATCTTGGGGACTTGTGTAGACATTTAGAAGTCCTCGGAATACTACATGGAATGAAAAATCCCGGGTCTGACAAGGAAAAAATCAATTTTTTACCGTAAAAACGTTTTTATTCTTCGGTATAGTCTCTATCTAGAGTAATACACTTAACCCAGCGGTCCTCCAACATTTCGATGCCCTTCGAAAAAAACGATTTGTCGAGGTCTGCAAAATAGGCCTCCGTTTCGACGATGATCTTAGCATTCGACGTGAATTTCTTTCCCTGGAAGAATCTTTTCAAGTTTGGAAACAAATAATAACCGCTGGGGGCCAGATCTGGAGAATACGGAGGGTGGGCCAATTCGTAGCGCAATTCATCCAATTTGACCGTCGCTTTCACCGATGAATGTGCCGGTGCGTTGCGTGGTGGAACAGCACTTTTTTTCTTGCCATGTGCGGCCGTTTTTTCTTGATTTCGTAGTTCAAACGGTCCAGTAAAGCAACGTAGTAGTCGCCCGTGATGGTTCTTTCCTTCTCCAAATAATTAACGTAGATTATTCCGTGAGCATCCCAAAAAATGCTGGCCATAACCTTCCCGGCCGACTATTGGGTCTTCAGACGCTTCGGACGACTGCTATCTGCTTCCAACCATTCTGCAAACTGCCGATTGGACTCCGGCGAGTAATAGTGGATCCATGTTTCGTCCATAGTCACAAATCGACGCAAAAAGTTCTGTCGATTATGCCGGAACAAGCCCAAATCGCGCTCGGAATCGTCAACACGTTTCTGCTTTTGGTCCGGAGTGAGGAAGCGCGACACCCATCGCGCGGTTAGCTTTTTCATACCCAAATGTTCGTGTAAAATGTTGTTTACGCATTTAATGGATATGCCTATCTCTTGCAACTTCGCTTTCCGATCTTGCAAAACAATCAAATGGATTTTTTTGATGTTTTCCGGTGTGGTGGTCTCGGAGGGACGTCCACTGCACTCAGCGTCCTTGGTGCTGGTACGGCCACGTTTGAAGTCCGCAAACTAGCGTTTCACGGTTGTAATCGATGGTGCGGATGTGGGATAACATTTATCCAGCCACTCCTTGGCCTGAACGGTTTTTTTTCTCATCAGAAAACAATGTTTTATCAAAACGTGAAACTCACTTAGGATGTTCTGAAGACTTATGCGAACATTTAGCAATCCTCTGGATGTCTTTGGGGCATCTTTTAAATCTTGTGCTATGTGAGTTGTTAAAGCAGCTCAGAAAAAGCTTTTTGTCAGAAATTTAATATTAATAAAAATATAAACCTCAGAGCCTTGTACAATGAGACGTTAATCATAAGCCATAAGCAAGATCACCAATCACAGTCGATTATTTTTGAAAATAATCGTCTGTGTGATTGGTTAATTTGCTTGTGGCTTATGACTTATTGTAGAAGGCTCATAAGGTAACACATACACGTATCAGAAACGTTTTTTAAACGTATCTATAGTTTCAGAACCGTAAAGCACCAATAAGAAACGTTTTAATAAGAACTTTTCTGAAACCTTATTTATGAAACGTTTATAAGAGGTTTCTTCAACGATTTTTTTCGCAAAAATAACGTTTCATTTAACGTTTTTTGAGTGGACATTTTTACTTATGCGAAACGTTTCAGAAACGTTATGAAACGTTTTGGAAACGGTTATGAAACGTTTAGTTTTAACGTTTATAAAACATTTCTAAAACGTGTCTGTGCTACCTGGGTCTCTAAAAACTACACTAAAGCGGGAAGCACACACCTTTACATAATGCATAATGCGCAACGCATAAGCGAATAGATCAATCAGGATCCTTTATTTCCATCCACTCTCCTCGTTTTCTTGCAGAATGCATGAAGCATAATACAGAAAGTGTTGAAAAGTTCGTAAGGATGAATTTTGATGGTTATGGGTTAGTTGTAAGAGAAGTGCACGTATGCGAAACAATAGAAGAATTACTTAACCTCTTTCAGAACATATCTATCAAAGTAAATTTAAGTGTCTTTATTAATATTTATTTCCTTTCGTGTTATTAAATACGAGATCTATTATAAAATGATCTCCTTTTGTCATGTCGTACTTATAAGATTTGCCAGGTCCCTTAACCATAAAATTTGTATGCGCACATGTGTGTGCGTTATGCGTTCTGCGTTATGTTCTGCGTTATGTTCTGCAAAACTGTATGCTTCCCGTTTTAACGTATCGTAGATGCGGGCTTACCGCCACTGCGACGCGCGCCGCAATCGAGCGACAATTCGATACTCTCTCTCGATACCTCTCGCGACTTCTCATTTGCGAATCACCTGTTCGTGCTTGGGGCGCGGACGCGCGTGCGTACGGTGGCGCCGCCGGGCGACGCAACGTCGTACTCAGTGGCAGGCAAGATGGCCGAGCAGTGGTGACGGGTCGTGGTATGCACGGCTGCTGGACTCGCGATCACGGTGCAGCGCGAATGGCCTAGCGATGGCCGAGTACAACATCGATATCGGCAAGCTCCCGGAGGACGTGCGGGAGAAACTCGCCGAGTTGGATCTCGAGCTGTCCGAGGGTGAGTGACTTTTCTTTTGACCGATCGGCGAGCGATGCGATCATCCGCCGCCCCTCGCGTTGCGAACCCTCATCCGTCTCTGCCTCTTCTCTCTCTCTCTCTCATTGTCCCTCTTTCTCGTTACCTTGCTCGCTCTCACTCTTCCTCTCTCTTGCTCCTCTTCTCTCCTCTCCGCTACGCTCTCTCTCTTTCTCTCTATCTCGCTCTTTCTGACTCACCCCGTGTTACACCGAGACAGAATCCCCTAGAAGCCCCCGTTTGTTGATAAAATCGATAACACCTTACGGCCGTTGCCGTCTCCGTTCCCATGCGAGGAGACCGCGAGACCGCGCCGCGGTTTTTCAGGGATGCTCCGGCGACTCGGTGTGTGGCGCCGGCGTTCTTTTAATAAATCGAGCAATGACCGCGAGCGCATTAGTTGAAAATCGTTACCGCTTCGAGTCGACCGAGACGACCGAGACGCAGCGCGCGTGAGAGAGAAAGAGAGAGACATGAAGGGGAAGGAGGAGGGGGCGCGGCGATGCGCGAATCTCGAGATCCGCAGAGACACGGTGTATACGTAGCGCAAATATCAATAACGGACACGCGTTTGGCATTTCTCGTTATCTAATTCCAAACAATCACAATGGCCGACCATCCCCTTCGATATCTCGCGGAGACGTGCTCGGGGAGCTCCAGACAAGCC